AGTCTTGGGAGGAGCCCTCAGGCTTACAGGCCAAAGACACAGAACAGGTGGGGGTGGGAAGACAAAGCAAACCATGCAACCCGGGGTGCTACAGAACAGGCCTAATGTTCAAAGCAGGAGAAGTACACCTTTCTCTACAGATTACATTCCAATGAGCTGAGCTAAGGGTATGGCTCAGTGGTAGAGCATTTGCCTATCTTGCATGGGCCCTGGATTCCATTCCCAGCACTGCAAAGAAAAAAAAACAAAAACAATTTCACCAAATTAAATGAGTTATCTATGAAGGGGTATATGATGGCGGGGAGGGAGGGCTGGAAATACTAATGAACTAAAAAAATAGGAATATAAATTCAAGTCAGTCTGGGATTATTATTATTTGTTAGGTACCAGGGTTGAACCTAGGGGTGCTTAACCACTGAGCCACATCCCCAGCCCCTTTTAATTTTTTTTTATTTTTCGAAAGGGTCTCTTCTAAATTTCAGAGACTGGCCCTGAACTTGTGATCCTCCTGCCTCAGGCTCTTGAGTCGATGGGATTATGCCCCCACTGCCACTGGCCCAGCATCAGTCTAGTTTTAGTAGTTACATTGTAAACCCAAAATTGCCTAGCTATAAATGCAAGTATGTTGGGATTTTTGATTACAGCAAAGCAACTCTGCACACATTGTTCTCAATGGAGGACAAATGAGACATCAGGAGAACTTGGGCTGGGCTGTGATTATGATATCCCAGGAAGGAGGCGGGATGGAGGTCAGGCTCCCTGAGGCAGATAAGTCCAGCTCTTGTGTTAGGCCTTCCGCACTGTTGGCCTTTAAAGGTCAAAGAAGAACCCTATACCTCCTGATAATCCATTCTAGCTCAACATTGACAAATGCCTATTTCTGTCTGTGTCACCTCTCTGGGTGTTATAATTTCCTGATGACCTTTAGGAGCCTGTCTGCTAACTGCCCTATATTTCCCTTCTTTCAAGTTTCAGCAAGTTCTCCTTAAATTCTAGTATTTGAAATTAGCCAGCATGCACAGTTTAACCTGCTTTACTCCCAAGATTTTATATGCAAGCTTGGGTCTCCCATTTTGCCAGCTGGGAGTACTAATGCTTTGACTTGGTGCTCGGGTAGAGGACCCGGAGTTCCCCTGGGCATCTCTTGTTCTCAAAATGTTATTACCTGTCCCCTGTACAAACTGGGTGCACACTGATCACGTGGAAGTACCATGGTCTTACAGAAGAATGAGACATAGGAATACTATTATCTTGTTTCAAAAAGTAGTCCCCTTCAGGTGGCTACCTTGTTGACCACTGTAGAACTTGCCACCAGAGCACGCCTGGCACACAGCGGCCATTCACAAACAATTGTGAAGTGAATGTCTCTTTTCAGCTTCATGGGGACATATAAGCATGTGTATACATATACAGGCATATACATAAGAAATAGCACAAAGAAAGCCTTCAGAATCGACACTTCAGTATTTTTCCCTCTAAAGGAGGCTTTGACACTGGTTCTTTCATATTGGTTATAATCACTTTAAAATATAACTACAGCAGCACCTCTTAATTGGTGCTCCTGCATTTAAGATCTTAACCCTCCAATCTGTCACCTGGACATATTCTTCTGCCATTATTTCCAGCATTTTTGATGTTCATTGGCTTGACAGCTTATGATTCACGTTCATCTTTCTGCTACTCTGATCTCATCTGGCCTTCCCCATGCACAGACCTGTTCCAGCTATCCCAGGGCCATTTTGCAGTCTGGCATTTGAGACCCATGGCTGTACCCTGTGAATCTTGCCTCCTGTGACTCACCCCACCGACTCCCTGTTCTGTACAGCTTTGCCTCCTTGGCATCCCCCAAACACATCTGCCTGCATATTCATCATCCTTTCCCCTTTGTTCCCGTTTCCACACAACTGTCAGGGTTCGGCTGCAGGAGATGTTTTCCATCCGTTTGGTGGGCTCCAACACTGTGGCTTTAGAGAAACAGGATGACTCTAGCCCTGTGCCAGAGGCTAAGATATGAAAACTTTGAAAACACAAGGTTCCCAGAAAGTGGGAAAACTATCAAGGCCTCCTAGCGGCCAGCTGCAAAGGACAGGCAGTCACACGGCAGCTCTTGTCATGTTCTTATTCTCTCTGGCTTACAGACATTATCTGATTAATATTACAACCTCAGATAATTTATTTATAGCCCAATTGAACATATTTGCTTTTAAAAATGTCTCACGATCTGGAGCCATGAAAGCAATGTGTGACACTGGCTTTTCACTAGCCAGATCATGTGCAGATTCAGCCCTGGGCAGATTTAGCCACCAGTGGAAGTATTTGCCCAGGGCTGAATCTTGCTAAGTTGCTGAGGCTGGCCTTGAACTGGGGATCCTCCTGCCTTAGCCTCCTGTGTCACTGGGATTATAGGCATGTGCCACCACATCCAGGGCTCTTCTTGGTTTTAACTAAATATAAGGGAATGTCCATTGTAGGGGATTCTGCAAATGACAAAGCCTAAAACAATGTTTCCTTCCTCTCCAAATCTGTAAAGACACTGGGATACAGTAGACCCAAATGTCATTTGGCAATCACAGCAGAAGCATGTTCTCAGGTGGTAGCAAAAACAGGCTCCGCTTTCTCCTATTAGACAGGCTGTGGGGTGCTGACTGTGGTCCAGGCAGAGGCCCCAGCCATGCCAGATCTTCACTGGGTTCAAAGGAAAGGTTTGGATGTAGCAGGCAGCAAGAAGGTACTATAGTATCCCCTAGAGGGAAAGGAAAGGGGGAGCTGAACTGCTGAGCCAATTGGCACCTCGGGATGTCAAATCCAGGGAAAAGGGAAAGAAAAGCAAAGAGGAACAGAGAGAATACACTCTGAACTTACTGGCACACTAGAGCCCTGTTTCTTGATTTGATATATTTCTGATTGCAGGAGCACTCAATGATAGAGAGAGAGAGAAAGAGAGAGACACACACACACACACACACACACACGCACACACATATATATGTGATATAAAATGATATCATATATATATAATGGGTTGGAAAGACGTTTTTCAACTAGACAAGAATTCCACAAGCTCTTGCATAAAAATTTAAAATGGCATAACATCTCAATATGGAGATGATGGACAATTTGAGATATATCCTTATCACAGAATGTTATGTAGTCATAAAAAAAATAATATAAGTTTATAGAATTGAGGCAAGAGATTTTTACCAAGTATTATTATATGAAAAATGAGGAATGCCCTGGATGTGGTGGCACATGCCTGTAATCCCAGTGACATAGGAGGCTAAGGCAGGAGGATCCCCAGTTCGAGGCCTGCCTCAGCAACTTAGCAAGACCCTGCATCAAAATAAAATTTAAAAAAATAAAAAATAAAAAAGTTTTGGGGATGTGGCTCAGTGATTAAGTGCTCTGGGTTCAATCCCTGGCACAAAACAAAAATTTTTAAAAATCCATTATTTAAAACCTATGTGTATATTAAAAGCAAACAAACACATCAGTGTAATCAACATTAGAAACTGAATGGACCAGAATGAGAAACAGGAGAGGAAGAGGGTGACAGGAAATAAAACAAAACAAAAACAATTAAAAATAACAGGCTCTCCAATAAAAACAGTAATTATATAAAGTTATATATATATATGAACATATTTAAAATCCAAATTAGAGGTGTGTTAGTGCATCTCAGGGTAAATATTTCACGTATTTTTATACTTTTTCTTATACTTGCCTACATTTTAATGTGATTATAAACATTATGTAATCAGAATTATTTTTAGTAAGGAAAAAACGTAAGTGATTAAAACATTGACAGCATAAAAATGTTTCTTAAGTCTTCCTGGTCAAAACACAATCCACTAGTAGAATTTTGCAACATTCATGACCAAAAAAGGTTTTTGCAATCATCTTCAAAATGGAGAAAAACTGAAGTTCAAAATTAATAATAGTCATATGTATTTTAAGCATCTTGAAATTAGGGTCTAAAATCTAATTTTTAATGCTTTTCCAACAGCTTAGCACATACACAGTGCTCAATCAACTTCTCGTTAATTGACAAGCACATGTCAAATCACATGAATTATTATATCAAAGATATTATTATTTGATACACAAATTCTATTAAGAGTAAAATCTCATCTAAAAAATAATATGAGAGCCAGAGCAGGTTTGATGAAAATAACTTAAATATGAAATTTAATCTGTCACAAAATAGTAATAAAACTAACACATAACAATTTTTTTCCTCCTGCTCTGGGTATGTTAAATGCACCTAGCTGGGTGCAGTGGTGCACATTTTTAATCAGCGCAACTTGGGAGGTTGAGGAAGAAGGATTGCAAGTTCAAGACCAACCTTAGCAACTTGGCCAGACTGTCTCAAAATAAAACAAAAAAAATAGCTGGGGATGTAGCTCAGTGGTAAAGTACCCCTAGGTTCAATCCCTAGCACTATAAAAAAAAAAATGGAAAAAGAAAAAGAAATATGTAGTATTCGGCTTTGTTACCTGTGTTTCTGTAGTCTCAGGGCTGTATGTTATCTACATACACCATAACAACTGAATACCACTAATTTCTGCTTATTATTGTGGATATGAGAGTTATGACATTAGCTACCAAGCATAAACAATCATAAACAATTTCTAGGCCAGGCCCATCGTCAAAACACTAAACTGCCGTTACAGTTCTGACTATAAGATGCAACTGTCTTGCAGAAAAGTGCAGCTTTTCATTCTTCCAGGGCTGCTCTCTTTGCAGGGCAGTAGAAATGGATGTCCCCCAGCTGGATGGAGAGCTGCCTTGTGAAAAGCTACGGAGTACCCTCAACAGGGCAATTTGGCACCAAGATCACCCAGGGCAGAGGTGGAGCAGGGGCTATTGCCCTTGATCCTTGAGGCCTGGGACACCCCACCTGGTGTAGGAACTTCTCATCTGCCATTCTGTGAAATGGCAAGTACTATTAGGCAGCACAAAACTAATTTTATACATCTAATCTTTTCAAGTAAAATACTTACCTGGACTAACAAGTGGCCTGAATTAGGCAAACATGTCTCACATTTCTTGATGTTCTCCTTTATTTGCTTTACCAAATTTGTCAATATTTCCACGGCACCTTTGCTGATCATTTCATTAAGAAATCTTGGATTCCCGGAAATAAATTTAATAGTCCCCATACAGTATAAAAAAGCTTCACTGTTAGTTTGCAGATCTTCACTTCTTAGTACCTCTAATAATGATTCTGCCAAAAAGATGAATTATTATAAATGTCTGAGTATAAGCGCTTGAGAGAAATACATTAAAGCACTTGTTTGAGAACATCAAATACAATTTGTGAGCTATATTTGTCCAAAGGTACATGTAAATGCTTGTTTAGAGTCACTCAAGTAAGAAGAGCTTACTTTTAGCTACAACAGATCTCTGTAATAGTAATGATGGCAAAAGGGTAGATTTACTAAAACATAAATAAGAAGCTATTCTTTTGGGCTGGGGTTGTGGCTCAGTGTTAGAGTGCTTGCCTTGCACATGTAAGGCCCTGGGTTCAATCCTCAGTACCACATAAAAAAAATAAATAAGGACATTTTTTTAAAAAAAGCTATTCTTTTAATCAAATGCCACTCCTTACCTCTTACTAGTATTTACCAGTCTTAATTTTTAGTTACAAAAATTTCAAGTTATTATAGAATACTAATAATCAAAGTATTTTATTTATTTACTTGGGTACTAGAGATTGAAACAGGAGGTGGGAGGCTTTACCACTGAGCTATATCCCCAACCCTTTTAAAAAAAACTTTTAAATTTTGAGACAGGGTCTTGATAAATTTCTGAGGCTGGTCTCAAGCTTGTGATCATCCAGCCTCAGACTCAGAAATTGCTGGGATTATATGCCAGTGCCATCACACCCAGCATTAACTCTTAAAGCATTTTAAGAGTTTGACTGTCAAGAGCTTTGTAATGTTGTGAACAACCAATAAAAAATAAAAAAATAAAAAAAAAGAGTTTGACTGTGTTGGGTACAGTGTAATCCCAGTGACTTGGGAAGCTGAGGCAGGAGGATTGCAAGTTCAAGGCCAGCCTCAGCAACTTAATGAGACCCTGTCTCAAAATAAGAAATAGAAAGAGCTGGGGATGCACCCCTGGGTTTAATCCCCATTACCAAGAGTTAGATATCAACAAATCTTAAAGGATTTTTTTTTTTTTGCTGTATTAAGGGAAAATAAGTCAAGAGAGGAGCTTAAACTCAATCACACTAGAAAGGAATAAGTTGAATATAACATCCACGCTTTCCCAAAACAATTAAAGAACCTTCATCCAAATGACATATAACTATGGGTTTTATGAGAAATCCAGGAACTCTAGTAAGGGTAATTATGCATATCTCATATTTAAATTGCTAAGGCTGGCCATGAACTTGCAGTCCTCCTCATAGTTACATTTCTTAATGTCTGTGTGATCATTTGTCATATTTATTTTCATCTGACACTTCTCAGTTAGATGATTCAGTGCTAGACATTTCTTTCCGCACTGGTTATGTCCCAGTCCTCTTGGGCTAAAAAAGATATTAAGATCATTTATCCTGTGTTACCAAAAGAGGACTGAGAGTGTTTTCCATGTTACTGCCTTCTCCTATAGCAGCAACATTAATTCATAAAATATTTCCATTTTTTTATTGGTTGTTCACAACATTACAAAGCTCTTGACATATCATATTTCATACATTAGATTGAGTGGGTTATGAACTCCCAATTTTACCCCAATTGCAGATTGCAGAATCACGTGGGTTACACATCCACAATTTTACATAATGCCCTATTAGTGTCTGTTGTATTCTGCTACCTTTCCTATCCCCTACTATCCCCCCTCCCCTTCCCTCACATCTTCTCTCTCTACCCCATCTACTGTAATTCATTTCTCTCGTTTATTTTCCCATTCCCCTCACAACCTCTTATATGTAATTTTGTATAGCAATGAGGGTCTCCTTCCATTTCCATGCAATTTCTCTTTTCTCTCTTTCCCTCCCATCTCATGTCTCTGTTTAATGATAATCTTTTCTTCCTGCTCTTCCTCCCTGCTCTGTCCACTTATATAACTAAACATCTTAATTATTTAGAGGCGTGTCAAGAATTAGGCATTATTAGTTTGGTAGTTAGAATGTAATAAAACTCCAACTACATATTTGATTTTTTTTTTCAATACCGGGGATTGAATCCAGAAGCAACTCTATCACTGAGCTACATCCCCAACTCTTTATTTTAGATGGAATCTCATTAAATTGTTGAGGCTGGCCTTAAACTTGCAATCCTCCTACCTCAGCCTCCCAAATTACTGGGATTACAGGTGTGCACCATCACACCTGGCTCACATTTGAAACATTTTGATGCCAGATTTCTATAACACTTACAGATGTGTCTTTTAATTTTAGCCATTTCTACTAGATCAAAAGACTAAATTTTTCAATTTTGAAAAAAATTAAAATTTTTTAATTATGCCAAAAACTATTGTGTTTTCTCTAATAGTGAATCCATGTCCCAGAGATGGATTTTCAAATGCTTCTTTGTAAACTCACATTGTATTACTATAAGCATTTATAAAACAAAAACAAAAACCAGTCTGTCATACTAGACTCCAAATGATACATTAAACAGAATGTGGAAAACCCAGAGAAGGAGGAGCAAAAATAAACATTATATAACTTCTGCATGTTACAAGAAGACACAATATTCTTGCCACCATTAATTATAACCTTTGTGCTGTTCATTTGCTTAACTGTGGCACTGAATGATACTCACCTAGGATGTTGTCATTTTGAATCAGTGAATCGTTCTTCTCATTCCTGCTAATTTTAAATATAAGTTTGCAGACATTAAGTAGATTCTTTCTACTCACTTTTAGCTGCAGAGAAATAAAAACACTTCCGTTTCTATTGTGGAGAGAAATAAAGATCTGGCATATTCTTAAAAACACAAACTTCTCTATTAAAAGCCTAGCAAGATTATTTTTAAACATAAACATTCTGAAGAAATCAAGCTTTAAAAAGATTAAATATTTGCCAGCTATGGTATCTAATTAACTTAGTTATACTAAATACAATACAAATGATCTTTTGAGTAAGAACATTTCAATAACAAGCATTTCTTTCTTACCTCATAATGTCAAATTTATATCTAAAGTTATTACTTACTTTTAAAAGAATATAGGAAAAAGAAAGCAGGCATGATAATTTAACAAATTTAATTAAATGGCATAATTAATTTAAAACACAAAAGCAAAGGATGATGAATGCCAAAATTTCAGATTAAACTATTTTTGAAAAGAATCTATAGTGGAAATGAAGGAAAAAAATAAAGGGAAAAATATGTCCTCTCCATAAATTGCATAAAAGAAAATTTAAAAACTAGTAGTATTTGATTAGATTGTATATATATATTTAATTTTGATGCTATTTCTGGAATGCTTTGAGATAATTACTGATAAATGAGTTTAAAGATTATTTCTAAATAAAACAAAAATATGTAAATGAAACACAAGGCAATACAAAAATATATTTCCTTTTTAAAAACATACACACAATAGGGTGACTTGCTGAACCAAATGGTCTAAATCATCTGTGTATTTATCTTAAGTAGTAAGAAATAGTAAATATCAAATATGAAAATCATTAATATTATCAATAATTATTAATATTATAATTATTATATTTCCATATATTATGAATTATAAATATTCATATATTATAAATATAAATATAATATAATGTATTACTTTATAAATATATAATTTTATAATATTATAATTATATAATATTATAATTGTTATAATTATTAATATTAATATTAAAATCCTAAATGTTCAATATTAGGGAAGAGTCTGATGAACTGTGGAACTATAATATTATTCTTATTAGGCAGTTGCAAAACAGTGTAACCATGAATGTTATGCTTAAAAAAGAAAAGCATCTAGAACCCACTATTAGATGGGAATATCATGTACCCTCATTGCAACAAAGTAAAAATGTAGGAACCAGGTCATCTAAAAAAAAAAAATTTCTATGTGAAAAGGATACATAAAGGTCATTATTTTACTATTAAAAGCTATCTTTAATATTGTTAATAAGTTCCAGTTAGTTTTTTTAAATAATAGAATTTTCCAGAAATATTTGTTAAGGATTTGTTCTGTTTGGCCACCAAGTGTCTCCTGAGTGCTTTCTGTGTGCCAGGTGCTGTACTGTTTGCTAATGGAGACGGCAAAAAGCATACTGTCAGTCTCAGGCCAGAGGAGCAAAGGGAGTGGAGCATGGCCCACCTGTCACTGGCCCCTGCCCCTCCAACCCTAGGCTCTTTTCATAAGTTACCTCACAGATATTCTGCATGGGAGGTGTTGCCATTCCCATTTTCCAGCTGAAGAGTGTGCGCTTGGACAGGCCACAGGACCTGGGCATGCACTAGGAAAATAGGCTCTCAGGTCCCACCAGCCCTACTGAGTCAGAATCTGCATTCTCAAGGGATTCACATGTGCCCTAAAGTCTGAGAGACACCATTTAGGAAGCCTTAGAAACTCCAACACATAGAGCCTTCTGCTCTCAGGCAGAAAAGGAAATGGAAACTTTAAAAAGTATCTATTAGAGCTGGGGATATAGCTCAGGGGTTAAGTGTTTGCCTAGCCTTTGTAAAGTCCTGGGCTCAATGCCTGGCACAGGGGGAAGAGTTATTGAGTAGGCAGGTGTTTAGAACAACATTATTTAAAAACTTAGAAAATAAGCTGACTTAAGAAAACAGAAAAATGTTTCTATATTAATGGAAAAATAGTATATATAAGATTTGGGAATATATTTAAATCAGTTGACTATCTTCTACTAAATTGTGTGTCCTTAAGGACAAAACTATGATTTATTTCCTAAGTATGGTATGTAGCATGAATTCCATGCTTAACAAAACTTGTTCAATGAATAGAATCACCCCCTATCCACTGTGAGTCTTACATTTTTAGTGAAAAGTGATAAGGAAAAAAAAACTGGTTTCAGGGTTTTCATCAAAATAACAACAGGAAGAAGAAGAAGGAGAAGAGGAAGAAGAGGAAGGAGAAGGAGGAGAGGGAAGGGGAGAGGGAGGAGAAAAGAAAAGATAAAGCCAGTGCGGTGGTGCTTGCCTGTAATCCCAGTGGCCTGGGAGGGTAAGGCAGGAGGATCCAGAGTTCAAAGCCAGCCTCAGCAACTTATTGAGGCCCAAACAACTCAGTGAGACCCTGTCTCTAAAAAAAAAAAAAAGACAAAAAAAAAAGGGCTGCAGGTGTTGCTCAGTGATTAAGCACCCCTGGGTTCAATCCCAAGTGCCAAAAAAAAAAAAAAA